CTGGCATGGTGTGGAGAACAAAGGGAAAGCATGAATGTCCCAGACAGGGAATAGCATGTTTGAACTGTGGGTGATGAATATGAGCCTATGGTATGCTTGAGGCATTGAGAGGTGGTATGGGTAGAACATGGGGTAGGAAGTGTGTGTGTTTGGTGTATTGGGGGAAGGAATGAAAGAGATGGGGACAGAACACAAAGGGCTTTAATAATCCACATGAAAGAGCAGAACCTTGTTCATAAATTCTCCAGCATAATAGCAGGTACTAGGGTCCAGGGTGGCTTCCAACTAGTCCAAGGTTTTTTTCAGTTCTTTCACATGCTGCCTCTCCCTGCCATTAAATGAGCAAACATTATTATACAGAGAAATAAATAAAGAGGAATTATTGATGTCGAGTAGACCATTTTTGAGCTCCATTTTAATGTTAGAGTTGATTTTTGTACCTTTTAAGTTGATTGAAAAAATAACCATGTTGTTGGGAATTAGAAAAATGTGAAAATGCAAAAGTTTGCACCCCTGAGCCATGAGACTAGAGAGATGAGGGACTGTTACAGGATGAGGACAGACTTATATCCTGGTTGCTAACCAGCTCTTCTCTGTGACCTCAGGCAAATCCTCTCTCTGCCTTAATTTCCTTATCTATAAAATAGGTATAATGTGATCCATTACCTGTCACCTGCAATTCTGAAATTCAAAGAGCTCTGAGAACCAAAAGTTGGTTTGGTTTGTTTTAATTTCATAAGTTTGCGCCAAACTCATTCGGTGGTGAAATCCAGCTTGAATTTGAAGCTTTATAGTCATTTCCCAGATGGTATGAATATTTATGAACTTTGCAGAAATGTCAAGGTTTGATTATGGGCACTGCCCTAAATCCTGCTGGAGCTGCTTAGAATATATACTATGTGAACTTTACTCCCTTTCTAAAATGTAAGTAGTTCTGGATTCTGAAACATGTAGCCTCAGGAGTTTCAGATAAGAGATTGTATACCTATGATACCTTCCTCATAGGGTTATATGAGGATTAAATTTATTACAACAGAATGCAGAAAATGATGAAGCTATTATTATTTATCATTATTTAAGCTCAGAATTTAGATTCCATTCTTTCATTCCAGACAATGAGTGAGGATTAACACCTGATGATGCCTAAATTTATTCTTAGCACTTTTATACTTTAGTCTGTCAAGTTTGATTTATAGTAGTATATCAATTATTGAAATGGAATGTTTCTCTTAACTGTCGTCCTCTGAACACTTATCATTTTTTTTTTCAATCTTTACATACCTGGATAAATGCCTTATTTGCCTTCAGGTGTTAGCTGAAAGACTTATTTTTCAGTCATCTTTCCTAAGGTTCATCTTATGAAACTCATGGTTAGATTATACATCTCCTAACTAAAAATACATTTTATTTTCTTGAAGTTCTCAATAAAAGTGAGTTCTTAACATGTTGTAAGACAATATCTTTTGTTTTTTAAAGGCATTGGTGAAAAATACTAGAGCAAGAATATCCATCAATATTTTCTTTTAATCAGTGCTTCCAAAGTAGAGTTTTATTTTTGTGGTTGATTTTATTTTTGGCATACTTCCTATTTTTCCAAGCTATCAAAAGCCCTTTTGCTGCATTTAGTCCTTGACCTGTGGGCATGGAGAACTGATTATGCAATATAATTCTAGTATTGGGAAGTTTTTGACTGAAAATTTCATATACTGAAATACTTGGGATACTAAGAAAGATTACTGAAATCCATATTATATTTCAAAAGGAAGAGATAAAGCACTTAGTTTTAAATGTGCTTTTTGGTAGGATATTTGCTTTTAGTCAGAGTTGGGTTGGAACATACCGATAATGACTCTGTTTGCCACTCTGTTGCCTGCTCCCCCATGTCTTTCCCCCGGAAGGACGTTGCTGCCAACTTATGATTGCAACCTGTGTGTGCGTGTTTACCTTTGTTTGAGTAAGTGTTACTAGGTGCCCATTCTTGGCTGGCAATTCTAGTGCCTGGGTGGTTTCACTCCAGCATCAGAAAGAGTAGGAATGCAGTGATGGGGCACTGACCCAGAGAACAAGAGTGCTAAGATTTAATATAGTGTAAGGATTAGAAGGAAGACTTTCTATACTGGTTAAGAGGTAGGAAGGGAAAGCAATACAGGATAGCACTTTGTTTTTTTGTTTTCTATTTGGTCCTACGTCTCATGCCTTCTCCATCCTATTTTGCCAATTATACAACCAACCAACCAACCAACCAACCACTGAACTTCCTCTCCTGACAGAAGGAAGTGTGGGCAGGAAAAGTTTCACTCACTTGTGAGAGAAAATATCTCCACCTTAAGCCTTTTGCTGCCATGATTTGCTGTGGACATTAGGTCAGTCCTTTTTTTTCATGAG